CCGTGTTCCACCCTTCGCCGTGGCGCATTCCCTTAAATCTGTTAACCGAACGCGGATCGAATGACTGCGCTCAGATGGGTAACCGAAAATAGCGAGCACCGCAGCCCTTGCGGGGCCCAGCGGAGCTCGAAGCAGCCAGCCACTCGCTGAACCATTGGACCTTCCAATTGTTCAGAGATCCAAGCAATCTGCGGTCGGTCTACCTACTGGGCAGGCCACTGATAATCGGCGTACATAGGTGAATAGCGAGACTGCCGGGCGCGCACGGTAGCTATAGGCACGGTAGTATAAGAAAAGTAGGCTACTGCTGATCCCTTTGTGACGCAGCCCCGCGAGTTTCTCGATATATCGCGATGGCGTGTTTTCAAGCGCTCACGAGTCTCGTAACCGGGTAACCCTGACCTTTGCCCTCTCGCGTTTGCTTCGTGCTGTACCTTATAATTAAGGGGTCAAGATCATGGGAGGGAGCTGCACGCTGCACCAAACTTGCCACACCTTCCCAGCTCTCGAGGGATCCCGTCGATTTCCCAAAGAAATCAGCGAGAGCGAATAAGCAGCGCGATGCAAATGGTGGCCATATGTATAGATATAGGAGATTCGGCCATATTAGCCAGGATCCTTGGGAGTGACAACCGGTAAGCGAGGGCGAGCGATATATAGGGTGGTATAAACGGAAGGAGGAAGGAGAAAAGTTATAAAGTCGTGAAGCGGTGGGAGCCGAGGGACAGCAAACGATTATATTCAATTGGCTGTATGTTAATGATCGCGATAGGAAAGTCCATTAATAACGTCAGACTAAAGACGATCTCGCGAGGGACGCGCGGGTTAAGGATGCATGCGACGGAGTGCTGATAAATTACAAGGGGTTTATTCCTAGGGAGTCCCGCTGCGCGTCAGTCGCAGGAGCCGAGTGACGTTGCGCAATGACCGTCTAGCTACTCCGTGAAATAAGGAAAGCGTCGAGATCCTCGGGTCACCGAGACCCACGCGCACCGCTCGAGCTCTAATTAAATCTCCCGCGGGCTCCCTCGGGCTCCCTCGGGCTCCCTCGGGCTCCCTCGGGTTCTCTCGGGTTCTCTCAGGCGGTGGTGGGCACAATGATTTCGATCTGTCCTCGGATAAGAGAAAGAGCGCTTGCTGTTAGGCTTGCGTTAAGGCTATCCTTGTTTCTCGTTGTTGTGCATCCCCAAGAGTCCAGGGAACACGGCCTTAACGATTTCTCCTCCGATAAGACTCCTGCCAGAGGTAGACTCATATAGGCCGCACGCACACCTAACGACTACTTACGGGCTAATCTTTAATCTTAGATCCGTCCTCCTATCCGCCCACGTTAATTCGCGCTCGCGACAGCCACAACGATTACGATTACGCTCCGTCAAGCTGCAGAGGTCGTCTCCTCTGTCCCTGCAGCTGAACCACTCTCTCTCTCTCTCTCTCTCTCTCTCTCTATCTGGACCAGCATGGATCCCGGAACGAACGTCCCATTGCACTTGCCAAGGGTGTGCAGGAAGACGGGGCCAGTCCGGGTTGCTCGGGCTTGTCGGCTTTACCGGCTAATCTCTCATCTTCCAGATTCCTCTTCTGCCGATGGTACAGAGGCGGTCGACGAATTTGCATTCGCAATGGCAATAATCCTAACAATTACGAGTTTGGCGGTTCCGCCCGACGACTCGGCACGACGCTAATTGTTGGGGAGTCGGCGTCGCCGCCTGATTTATTCACTTTTTCTCGCTCCCGTAATTTGCAGAACCTGCACAACCATCGAGATCCCGACGCTCGATCTCATCGCCGCTGTCCGCGAGTCTCTCGTTTCACTCATTTGGCAATCGAGCTCAAATCTTCCGGAAGATTTTCCCGTCGAACGTTCCATGGGAGCTCGCAAGCCGGACTCTCCAGATTTCCATCCAGATTTCCATCCAGATTTCCACGTAGGATTGAGTGGACGTAAGACGTGGAGGTAAGAGGAATAGTAAGGTAAGGACGCTCTGCGGGGCACCGAGAACGTACAAGGCGAATAGAGAGAAGCGGGCTCGCCACGCCATTGTATTGTAATACCGTTTAAACTCGAGCAGGTAATAGGCTGTGCTTACAACTATTTAGAATGTACCGGGTGCTCCGCAGGAATAAATCAGACTCCGGTGCGCCAGGGAAATCGAAGTATCGTGTCACGAGGGTCTTATTCTGTCAAGGGGAGGAAGCTGTTGGCTAGGTGACGTGGGTGGGAGGGCAAAAGTCTCGTCTTTCGAATGATCATCGAAATCGACCAAACGACTGCGGCTGCTCCAGCAGCATTCCCGGACAAGAGTTTTAAGTTTCCTCGGATAACTAATCCTCTTAGAGTCAATTTACGGCGATCGGAATTCACCTCAAAATAGAATTCAAATGCGAGTGGGATTTAATCGCCTCGCCTTGTGCCCCCCCCCCCTCCCCCCTCTTTACTAACCTTGTCAACCGCTAAGCTGTGTAAGTGAAATTCCCCGAGTAAAAAGCCAATAAATTATCTAGCGCCGAGAAGTAGAATGGACCGATTTCCCTGCTCGGCTAGAGGAAAGTTTCGAGGCGCAACGTCGGACAAAGCCAAAGGAAAACGAACAGGAGAACGAACGCAGGGAAGGAAAGAAGAGAGAGAAGCCGGACAATTAAATGGATGAAATC